GGCAATCTCTAACCTAACATGTTACACAGTAAAAAAAATGTATACTGCTAGATTTAATTCCATAAAATTACCTGAGAAAAGCCGACAAAGAGATGAATGCGATTAGAGAGAAGGACGCGTCGTCCTCCTCACTATCTGCGATAAATAAAGTCAGTGGCTTGTATGAAGAAGGAAGCGTCGTCCTCCTCTCTAACGCCGGCCCTTGGAATTGAATCTCACTTTCAGTAAAAACAGAGAAAAAAGTAAAGAAAAATTACAAAGGAATCAAGAAATGGAAAGGGAGAGAGGTACGATTCTCAAAAGGGTGGCCAAATTGGATCTAGATTAGATCTGGTGAGAAGTGCAAATGGTAAAGCTAGATGATTCGTGATGGATAAGAATGAAGGGTGGGGGTTATTGATTAATTGTGGGTTGGTAGTGGTTGGAGGTTGGAGATTTAATTGTAAGGGTATTTGTGTCTTTTGATAAGGAAAATTTACTTTTTTTAGAAAGTGAGAAGTTAATTTTAGGACGGCCCGAAAAGGAAAGTGAGAAGTTAATTTTAGGACGGAGGGAGTAGTATTTTAATATGTAGTTTTTATTTTTTAACTATATACCATTTGTCATATAAAGTGATTTGAAAAATAATTTTAGTCAAACATCGTAAACCGAAATAGACGTTATAAAATGGGACGGAGGGAGTAGTAAGTTTGAGATTTTTGGTGACATTCTTGTGTGCAACTTTAACATTTGTGTTTTAACCATTATTTAGCTGGCGTTTTTTGTTAATGAGATGAGAGGATCAACCATTGTTCTAAAGTTTGAAATTAGTGTTAGGTGAGCGTTGTGGAATTGGTAAGATAAGATGTGTAAAGAAGTACTGTATAATTTTTAATAATTGCACGGGTAAACAATTATATTAAGTATAAATCCTCTGCAATTACAAAGCATATATTATTTTTGTAACTAATATGTGATTAAAGCTTAATTTAGTTCCATTCTGAGTTTTTTCAAGGAAGCAATTTTTTTTTGTTTTTTTTTTGAGATTAGTGTTAGGTGGGCGTGGGGGGTGGGGTGGGGGGGGATTAGAACGTGGGTTTGGGGAGTGGCGATGTAACCACTTGCACGAAACCATCAAAGTTTGAAACGGTGTTGAAAATAGGTTTAAAGTGGCGACGACCAACGGATCAAATGTATCTAATCCATTTTTTAATAAGCATCTTTAATTGTGTTTAAGATTTTTTCTTTCATTTCTAAGATGGCATTCATATTCGGTTGGAACTATTTAAATATGGAGTATTATTCAAAGATTTAGATTTCTTTTGGGTTTGAACTTCTTCCCTAATTTGAGTGGTTGGTTCGAGTCCCAGTAAAGGGAGATGTGTGAAAGTGTGTGTATTTATAAATTGAAATTTTGGGGATTAGAGAATTTTAACCAAGTTATAATTATTTTTAAGAAATAATTATAAATAAGAGTAAAACATAGAAAAAATATCAAAATGGAAGCCTTATATTTTTACATTCAAAATATGAGTTTGTATTGTGATAATATGATATCACATATTAAATTTAACAATACGTTTTAGTATTGTATATTGACATGATTGACATTGTATTTGCACTATAACTCCAATTTTGAAAATAAAAATAAAAATTCTTATTTTGGTATATCATCTATATATCTTTTACCCTAGTTTTGTTTTTTTCTTTAATTTTTTGGATTTTGAAACATATACGAGGTAATTTGAGTCAAATCTTAATTTCCAAATCTAAATTCATATTCACGAACAAATTTTTTTTAATATTATTTACTTTATTTTTTTTGGAATGAACACGGGATTCACAATGTTTTTATCTAAACAGGCCTTTAACTATATTTCTTCGGTTTAGAGTATTTGTCAAGTTTGATTTTTTTAATCAAGTTAGATTAATTTTAATTATCAATTATATAAAATTTTCATTTTGCATTAATATATTAAAATATATTTTTGATAGTATTTTAGAAAATAAATCTAATCAGATTACAGAGTTCGTGTACTAATATGCTATACGCTATATAATTTTTATTTAATTGATTATCAAAATTTATTTATTTTTATTAAGAAAATAAAATTAGATTAATACTTAGTATCCGAGATGTATATAATATTTTGTAGGAGGCTTACGGCGGGGTTGAGGTGGGGGTGCAGAGGTGGGGGTTAAGGGGTGGGTTAGAGGAGGTAGGAAGCGCCAATTTTACGAACGGAGCACCGGAGGTGCTCCAAAAACGGAGTGGCACCGGAGTGACACCGTTCTCTAATGTCACTAGAACTGGACCGTTTTTATATATAATTTTTTGAAATCCTTAAAAAATGAATTGAGTAAATTTATTTTCATTTTTTAAAAATTTCACAAAAGAAGTTTAATTTGAAGAGGAGTGGGAGTCTATGAGTAGGACCGTATAATTTGCTTGTGACATGTGATTTGTCATCTTTTCCGGTTTCCAGAAACTGGCTTTATAAATAAGAACCAACTCCAAACAACCCCTAGAAAGTTTAAAACAATATGGCCCTAAATTCTCGCATCGTCCTATTCCTCGTGGTGGCCTCCGCCGCCCTCCTCTCCCCCTCCCCCGCCGCCTCAGACTCCCTTGTAGGCGGATGGGGGCCCATCGTGATGCCCCCTCCCCCCTACGTGGTGGAGATCGGACGATTTGCCGTAGCCGCCATCAACAAGGCGGCGAACACCACTCTGGAGTTCGAACGCGTGGTCAAAGGCGAGGAACAAGTCGTCGCCGGGACGAATTACAGGCTCGTGGTCGCCACTAAGGCCGCCGGGAAGATGTACGAGGCTGTCGTCTGGGACCGATCTTGGTTGCCGGCGAGGAATCTGACCTCCTTCAAGCCGTACGACGGTGCTTCGAATCTGTCTTAGTCAGTGAAGATGTTCGATTGTATGTTGTCTTTGATCTGCAAAGAGTAAATTAAGGTTGTTAGAGACATTTGAATTATAATATCTGCAGATAAATCTGATTAAAATTGTTAGAGAAACTTTTCAAGTGTCTATTTGGATTAGAATCAGATTTATATTTTCTTCGTCCAGAATTGTGAAGCTTCACAATTGACTGCACTTTGACCATTAGTATCTAAAGGTGGGGTTTTGGTGGGGTTTTGGTGATACCGGGTTTGGTCAGTAGTGGTGTCACTGTCATTTTAGAGCACTTTTGGTGCTCTGTTCGTAAAATTAACGGTTCCTACCCCCACCCTACCCCGCCCATGCGCCCCACCTCAACCCCGCCGTAATGCATAATAGCCACACATTTTGTGGGGGCTTACGGCGGGGTTGGGATGGGGTTTAGGGGTAGGAAACATTAATTTTACAGACTGAGCACCGGAAATGTCTCAAAATGACCGTGACATTGAAGTGTCACAGTACTCTAGTGTCACTAGAATCCCATCGATTTTATAAAAATTTGATATTTGAAAACTACTCATAACAATTCTTTCTCTTAGTGCCTCGGAAAGTTTGATACTCCGTAGTTGGTATCTCGCAGGAAAGGACTTTTCTAAGTCACAAGATGAGTTTAGTTTGGTAAATATACACCATTATCCTTTGTTTTGTCTTGTGGTTCTAAATAATATTCCTACGACAATATTATAAGGATGAAATGAGTAGTTCTCCCCCCATATGATTTAGAAATGAGGAATTTAGAGTACTAAAACATAGTCAATTTTTCAATATGATACCATATATTTTAATTTCCAAAAATAGGTCCATTAGATATTGTTCAAGTAAATATTCATTGTCGCTGGACATTGTTCAAAGTAAGTTTACTGTCAAATACTATTTGAAGAATAAAAAATTTTAGGTACCACATTGAGAAAAAAACATAATTCCTCCGTCTTGAAATAGATTACAATTTTTTCTATCTCCTCTTGATAATTTTTGTTTATTTGTGTGTTTTCATTAAATATTTGATAAAATAAACTATTCTTGTCACCTCTCGTTTTTTAAAATTTTTGACATAATTTTTTAATATGTAATTTTTATTTATTATTGATATACGAATTACCAATTTGTAAATAAAATTATTTTAAAAGACAACAAATTTTGTTTCATAACTCTCAATTTGTAATCAAATTTCGACGGAGGGATCAAAGTATATTTTAATACTATTTAGTGCATATTAAGCTTTAGAAATAAACACCAATGCCCTTCTCTTATTATTATTATTATTATTATTATTATTATTATAGGAAAACTATCTAAAGTAGTTTCACATTTTCGCGCTCTTTATAAAATAATTCAAATTTTTACTCTTATTGGAAATAATATCACTTTTTACATGTATGCAAATTTTGGGTACACACTATCCCAACCACGAAGAAGATAGGGAAACAAAGGGGTTGGGATGAGGGTTTTCAAGGGTAAGAAAGAGTATAGTAATCATCACAAACAAATACTAAGAGCATTAGCAATGGCGTTCCATCACCAAGCCACGCTCTGCCACATCAGTGTGTAGAAGCATGTTGCCATGCGTGTCTAAGGCGAGTCACCCCTATATCCGAGTAGCCTGCGAGGCAAAAGTTCTTTAGAGTATTTTTTTGTTTCCTTTTTATTTTTCATTTTTTCTTTGGATAAGAAAGGAGATCTGTGGGCTGTGGCCATCCACTCACCCGTATTTGTTTTCCATTTTTTTTCTTTTGTATTTATTTGTTTATTTTCTTTGAAGAAGAAAGTACAGATTTGGTCATGAAATGCCCTCATCTACGGAGTATCTTTTTCTTTTTTCTTTGTTACTTTTCCTATAAATATATTAGCAATAGATTCATTTTGGAATATAGTTTTGAAATATATAATTTTTATAAAATATAATTTTTGATAACTAAATTTCTCGAAAAATATAAAAGTTACAAAAATTAATGACTTGCCACTGTGGAGTGTGCCACTCTACTAATTTGACACTCTATGACTGTACTGCTTTTTATTGGTTGGAATATGACATGTCAGCGCGTGACAATCTTTTTTTTACTTGTCATTGCTTGTGCTCTAAGGATGCTAGAGGCACCGATGAAATATACTCCAAAGTGTACATCAAAGTTATGTGCTAATATTTTGATGGTCCAAACTGACACAATAAGCCACAATAAGCTAGTACGATTAAAAACAGTTTACACTAGTATTTTGTACCTGTGTGAACCATCACCTTAACATCACACGAGCCAAAATGAAGGTGCATACGTGCGTTGTACAATTTGGAATACAACTTTTAGGGTACAAGTAGCTTAATTCAAAAATATTGTAGGTGTCCCGTATGAGCACATAATACTAGGGGTGGACATGGTACGGTATGATACGATATTTAGCTCGTACCAAATATTTTGGTTTGGTATGAGATTTTGCGTTGTACCAATTCCGATTCCAAAATTTTAGTTTAATATGGTTCAATATCAATTTTGGTACAATTGGTAAAAACATATAACCCTAATTTATACTTTAAAATGTTACAAAACCTTTATTTTTGAAAAATAAAAAGTACATTTAAATAGAGAAGCATAAAAAACTTAAAAATTAATAAATAAATTCAAGAAAGGCTTATGAAAGTTAGTTTTTATTTCACAAATTAAGAAAATGAATGATAACAAAATAATATTTCAAATCCTTGTTAAATGTTTTTTAATTCATATACAAAAAATTAAAACTTGAAGAAAAGAACAACATACACATAAGAAAATTGAACCAAAATTCTAAAAAAACTTATTATTTAATGGTAAAAAATATAAAAAGAGAGGAATTGTCACTAAAACCGAATCCTTTTTATTTAGATATTCGGAATAAATTTTAGGAGAGGAATAATTGAATAAAATATTTATTCCGTAATAATTTGATATGGTCAAAACAAAAAATTGGAAAACATGAAAAGATATAAGTAGGTCTCATGTGAGTTGTAGAGTGGGAGTGTGGGACACTGGGACGTCGCCGCAGAAGCGTAAACCGCTCGTTCAAACAGCCCACCATCCGCCGCCTAACCAACAGAACCTAATTAATCAACCCAGACGAGCGCACTGAAGAAGGAGAGCTTTCTGGGTGGGGGAGAAATTAAAAAAAAAGCAATCTTTCGGTTGGGTTGTCCGGTTGGACCCGAGCTTCTAGCTCCATCGCCTCCTCCATTCCCGCTGCCGGAAAGCTTTGCCTCCGGCGACATGAAGGGTTTGTTCAAGTCCAAGCCTAGGACCCCTGTTGACGTTGTTCGTCAGGCTCGCGATCTCCTCGTCTATGTCGAAACTGGGTCCGCATCCGATTCCCGTGAGAGCAAGCGAGAAGAAAAGGTCAGTAGGGTTTTGTTTCTCTTTTGTCTTTAGTCCCTAATTACTCTCTGTCAAGCTCTAATTCTTATGCTTTGTCGAATAAAATGAATTTCCCTCCTAATAACAAATACTTTATGGTGAGATGCTTGTGGAAATTGAATGAAATTGAGCTTGAATGATATGGATGGTGTGTCTGGACTGATATAATGATATGGATTTTGTAGATAGTAGTTTCCTCTGGTGCATATATTTATGAATTTGCTGTTTTTTTAATACTTTGCTGGGTTTGCAGATGGGTGAGCTGAGCAAACTTATCCGGGAAATGAAGTTAATTCTTTACGGGAACAGCGAAGCTGAACCTGTTGCGGAGGCATGTACGCAGCTGACACAAGAGTTCTTTAGAGAAAACACGTTGCGCCTCCTAATTAACTGTCTTCCCAAGTTGAATTTAGAGGTATTGTTGGTGCGGAGTTTGTACTTTGTTTGTTCCACAATGGCTTAATTCAAAGGCACTATCATCAACTAGTTCCATTGTCTATGTTTGTTTCATCAAAGCGCGTGCTTTTGTAGACACGTAAAGATGCTACTCAAGTAGTTGCAAATCTGCAAAGGCAGCAGGTTCAGTCAAGGCTGGTTGCATGTGATTACTTGGAAGCCAATTTGGATCTCATGGATATTCTAATATTAGGGTAAGGTTCTCTTTATTAGGATGAATGAATTAGAAAGTCTTAGCGGTCTGAATATAGACACTTCTCAATTCATTTTGGAACCTTTTTTATATTTTAAAACTTTCAATTTGCAATTATGCACATCTGTAAACTTTGATATCCAATTTAGAATGATTAAAGAAGGTCTGAGAGCTTCTAATTCACTTTAGGTGAAAGAAAAAAGAGAGCCATTCTTCAAGTCCATAAAAGATGTATGACTTCAATTTGTTTTTCTAGTTGTACATCTCATAGAGTAATTGGATAAACTTTTTTCTTGATTAAGATCCAGAATATCAGACTAAGTAGTTTTGATGCACCAAAAGGTTTTTCTGTTGCATTCGTTATATATGACTACCTTTGTTCCCAAAAAGACACATTTTTTGTCAATGCGTAACTTTTTAATCATGAGAAGATAAAACCATTCGAATTCCTAAACTCCAAACCCTTAAAACATGCCTCTTTTTGGGGATGGAGTGCTACTTATTTTTTAGACACAAGTCCATAACCATGACCACTCAGCGTCTCAGCCTATTCAACTTTTAGTTTGTGTAGATTAAATCTGCTAACGTTTAACTACAATGTAGGAAGTTTGGGTAAATGGTAATCACATCTTTGGATTGAAATTTTCTCTACTATAGAAGCGTAATATTATGGCTGCTATGCAGTTTATCCCAGTGCTCCGTGTTTAACCTTAAGTACTCCATGAACATTATCTGTAGTACGTTGGCTTAATTTTTTTAATTACTCGTACTATTTACCACCTCACAATCTAATACACCGAACACATTTGTTAGCTAACGTTGCCCTAGATGAATGCTTCTATTGGTTGTCTAATGGAAATATATGTGAAACTTTTGGTGTTACTCAGTTATGAGAAAGCAGATATTGCATTGCATTATGGTGCTATGCTGAGGGATTGCATCCGGCACCAAAGTGTTGCTAGGTAAGCAGCTACAGTGTCAGATTTTTTGTGCCTCACTCTTCTCGTGTTAATTGTTGCTACGGAAGGTGCTTTATTTTTTGAAC